CTTATGAAAAATTTCTTCAAAATCAATGTAAAAGAGCCTATATGGCCAATCATTCTTCTTGTTGCACATTTTGCAAATAATCAGGCCAAATATAATGCTGACACTTATATAATCAATAAATTGGTCCTACTAGGTTTTATATTTGGAAGAAATGGGGAACTGGGGACAGAGAAAATTGTTTTCGAAGAAAACTATATCATACTTCTGATAAGATTCTAGCCCTGATCACTGTTTTTTAGTTTTTATCATTTTCTTACAATTTAGACTGAATTCTGAATGATTTCCCAGCTCCAACAATCCTGTAAAGAAAAAAGTGGATTTAATTTCCTTCATGATATTTTTAGTTGACTCCCCAGTAGAATAGGTTTTGTTGTTATTGTTCTAATATACAAATTTTTTAAAATTATAACTCCTATATACTACATATATCTCGTTTTACTTCTGCCAGGAAGACTAAACTCATGATACTTTGAAGACTAACAATGATTTAACAAGCAATAGCAACTACATACTTGACTGAGGTGTCATTTTTGCCACCTGTGATGCCATCTCAATTTGGCTTTTGGCACTCTTAAAATTCCTCATTGAAATATTTCCTTACTTCCCCTTCCCATGTGGGACAGTCCCATCAGGAGCCTTCTCAAACTGAAGGAGGAAGGATATGTATCACTCTAATCTAAGCAGAAATTAATCATTAATGCTTCAATGGAAAGATTTTCGATCAACAGGTGGGAAATGAGAAAAAAAAAAATTGCTCAGAGCCGTCTGAGTTATATGAAGCAGGCAAAATGTGCCAGGCCCAGAGGAAGGTGTAAGTATGGCTCTGGGACCTCAGTCACACCTCTCACACACATACTCAGGGGCAACTGTTTAAAGACATTTTGTTCCTGACTAGCTGCCTTGCCCATTATCTTCATGTTCCTGGAGTTCGTGATACAAAGAACAATGTATAACAGCCTCCCAAAGTGCTGGGATTATAGGCATGAGCCACCATGCCTGGCCAGTTTTCTATTAATAACAACTATCAAAAATGTGAATGGAACATCCCTAAGATGTCTTGATCAGAAATTGCATGTTGCAGTTTCAAGGATAGAAATTGATATTAGAAAACTTCACTTACTTACAGAAACGACCTCAAATTCCTTCTCCTAATTTCTGAAAACACTTTATTAGAAATATACAAAAGTAGTATTTCATGGTCTTATCTAACACTTTGTTAACCTTTCTTATAATTATGGCATATAAAATAAAATACGTTTTTATCACAAAAATATCCCCAATTGCCTTCTTGTTTACTTATCTCTGTGTGCCACATACTGAACAGTTTTGAATATTGTTAGGCTTTTTATTGCATTGAAGACTGGTGTTTGGAAAAATAGCTCTTTTACTTATTTTTGTATTTATGTAAAGTTTATAATAATTATGTATCAGTTTTGTGATTAAAACTTATCATAAATATTTAAAGTAAATTAAAATAAATAGTAAAGTAATATAGCATAATCGCATTTTAAAATGTACAATTAGCAGTATTTTCTTTAAAAATAATTTTGGCTGGGTGCAGTGGCCCACGCCTGTAATCCTAGCACTTTGGCAGGCAGAGGCCAGTGTATTAACTGAGCTCAGGAGTTTGAGATCAGCCTCAGCAACATGGTGAAACCCCATCTTTACTAGAAATACAAAAAATTAGCCGGGCGTAGCAGCGTGCACCAGTAGTTCCAGCTACTCAGGAGGTTGATGCAAAAGAATTGCTAGAACCCAGAAGATGGAGGTTGCAGTGAGCCAAAATTGCGCCACTGCACTCCAGCCTGGGTGACAAAGCAAAACTCCATCTCTAAAAAATAATAATAATATTTCTAGCTTTCTTTTGTTTAGTGAAAAACCAAAAATGCAAATTTTTAAAAAGAAAAAGTAAATAATACTAGATCGCAGATTACAAGACACACTCTGGAATGCTGCAGTGGAGTAGGTCAACCAGCACGGACTTTCTTATTGGCAATTTGACAACATGCATCAAGCGTCTAAACAATGTTCAAAACCGCCAACCCAGCAATGCTTTTACTAAAGTCTAGTCTAAAGGAAATAATCGTAAACAGTTAAATAATTTTACTGCGGTAAAATTTTAAAATAATATTTGCTGCAGGAAAAATGCTGTGCATATGAATAGCAATGCTTTTTATGTCTTGGTAAAATTCAAAACACCTTAAATATCCAAAAATAGGGAATGTCCAAATAAATTATTTTTCATGTTCTAATGAAAAATTATTTATGAAAATTTTGTGATAACATAAACAATGTGTAAGTCGCTAACTTAAATGAAACAAATAAAATACACATTTGAATAATCCTATGATCCAAGTTATATAAAAAGCAAGATATATCTTCAAGAAAAAAAACAGTTGGAACTCAACAAAATTATATGCAGCTTTTCATGATAGACACTTTTTTCCTGCTTATTTTCTTTGAGAAGCATATATTGGAAAAAAAGTATCAACTTCTATATTTGAAGCAAGCTATATATGTGATTTGCTTTCCATTTCAAGTTTACTTGGAACATCAGCCACCTCTACGCCTCTTTGGTGAGGGGGGTTATTAAACTTAAATCTGTTCATATTATTCGTTGCTGTTTGCCTGGATTTTCTGGAGGGAAATCATAACTCTATTTTACATTGTAGGATATTATTTTTCTTGTCAAACTTTACTCATGACCACCATTATTACAGTTCCATAATTTCTTTTTCAGATCTAAACAGAAAAAATATAATTTAACATTTTCTAACGTTAAGCTTAAATATGTTGAGGAGAAAAATGCCAAATTATCCACTACATGGATGTGGATTGGGTTATGCTGTAGTAGAAAACCTAAAAAATATTGGATTAAACAAAGACAAGGTTTATTTCTCTGAAGTAGCAGTCAGAAAAGAAATAGGCAGGAGAGGAATGTTAAGGTCACCATACATTGCCATCAGCGACCCAGGCACCCTCTAGCTTAACGCTTGGCCTCCATAGGGCCTGGCTTCTCTAGTCATGCTATAACTTTAGTTGCAAGATAGCTGCTCCCTCTCTAGCCTCATGGCTGGTTTTTAGGTAGAAGGAAGGAGGACACTGAAGAGCAAAAAGGCCTTATTAACTAAGTCACATTTTTAAAGAGTCTTCATAGAAAGCCTACTCACGGATGTCTACCTACATATCACTAGTCAGAACAGTGTGGCACAAGCCACCTTTGTTCAAAAGAGAAACTGGGAAACTGGTTTTTAAACTGGATACACTACTGTCCTTAAGAATATTGGGGCTTTTTTTCTACTAAAGGAAAAGAAGAATGGGCATAAATTAGGCAACTGTCAGCCATAGTAGCCATGGTGACTCTAACTAAAAATCACCATGGAGAGTATGACACAGAAACGACATGATTAGGCTGTTAGGTGTGAAGCATACTAACAATTTCTATTCATCAGAATGACATAAAAATTTTAAACTATGATTAAACTTACCAGTGATTATTTCTATCTACTCACATAACATCACAAATGTATAAATTCCCAGCATATACTAGGGTTCACACACACACACACACACACACACACAGACACAAATGTACAAATTTAGGATTAATGAGACCTAATTTCTTGTTGTAATTTCATAGACATCTTGCAAATGCAGGATTTTGTTTATCACAAAGGCAATAAAAGAGAAAAGTGTTGAATATGTGACCTTCTAGCATCTAATGACCAATATACTGTAAATCCTTCAAGAGCAGAGACTATTTCATTGAGATTTACCTGTCTTAAGACATCTTTATAAAGAATTTTTCTTAAGAAAAATTGGTTTACAGAATCAATGAATGAACAAAATCAACTAAAGACTGGTTAAAAGGACATTCTATATTTGGCTTCCTTTGTTTGCTTCTTTGCTGATTTGTTCGTTTTACATAAGCCTTACTTAATTGGTTCTTTTAAGAGCTATCAGAAGGAAATTTCAGGATATCAAGAGATGGGATCCAATCAAAGGCTTTTGCTGATGGCTGCCTGATGCCCAAATGAAAACAATATTATACAGCATTCAGGTATTACTGATAGTGACAGGAGGCAGCCAAATGCCTAAGCAGATAGGGGTGGGTCCCCAGTGAAACCCACCTCTAAACAGAAGGCAATTTAAAGCCTGAAAGCCAAGATACAAGTTAAACACTCAGACCAGATTGAGATATGACTCGAGGATAATAGAAAATAGGCACAAGGAGGTCATCATATTGACCAAGTTTCAAAAAAAAAAATAGTTTATAAGCGGAAAGGATAGCCATACAATAAATGACTTTTTAAAATAATCACGATGTTCTCTACTCAAAGCACTGAATATATATTCTAAATTAACCAGAAGAAATCTGGTTTTGAATTATAGTCTCTCTGGGTCCCTGAGGAGAGACATTGTGTTCCTCTCAATAAATAACTGCTCTTTTCTGCTTATTTGTAGAACAGATTTTCACTACAGAAGCAAAAAAATCTCGTCTCTTCATTGTAGGCTTCTTGGCATTCAACCTAGTCATTGGGGTAGGTTGGCTTCTCAGGTCAGTCTGAAGTCATTAAAATCATTTAGAAAAGCAACTCAGTAATATTTATGAAAAGTTGCAAGTTCATATTTGCTTTGACCCTTCAAACCTACTTTGTGAAAGCTATTCTGTAGAAATTAAATCACCAGAATTTATGAGTATATAAAAACAGATTATTTGTTTTACTATTCTCTTTTGTGACAAAAATATAACCATCAGTAAGTCTATTGCTAAACAAATTGTTGAAACTGTATTATACTCAATATGAAGGAATATTATGCATCTGTGAAAAAAACTAAAAATATTAACATATAAAGATGCTCCTGATGTGTAATCAAACTTGGAGAACTCAACAACTTAGTCATACTCATACCAAAAAAATGCAAACTTTTTCACCATTTATTAAATTTAGATTGAGTACAGTCAGGCAGTGACTAAATCTTACATGGCTTCTCAACAGTCAGACCGTGTGTAAAACCACTCGCCTTCGCCATAACTTTATCAAAGCCCTCTTCATCTCACTATTTCGCAAGCTGTAGATAAGCGGATTCAGCAGAGGTGTCAGAAGTGAGTATGACAGTGACATCAGTTTCTTGGTTTCTGGTGAGTAGGCAGATTTGGGCTGTAAATAAGTCATGCTGGCTGTGCCATAGAACAGGGCCACAGATGTGAGGTGAGAGGCACAGGTGGAAAAGGCTTTTTGTCTCCCAGTAGTTGAGGGCATCTTCAGGATGGTAAACATGACTCGAATGTAAGACAAGAGGATCAACAAGAAAGGAACCAAAATAATCAAAAAGGTGCCTGTGAATGCATAGATTTCAAACAAAAACGTGTCTGCACATGCAAGTTCCAACACTGCTGGGGTTTCACAAGATATATGGTTGATTTCATTAAGGCCACAAAAGGGAAAACTAGATACCCATGATGTTTGCACAGTACCTAACATAAAACCTAAGGCCCATGAAAATACAACTAATTTCATAAAAACTCCTTTATTCATAATCACTGGGTAGTTCAGAGGATGGCAAATTGCAGCAAATCGGTCATAAGCCATTGCTCCTAGGAGAAAACATTCAGCCCCACCAAAAAGAAGGATGAAATACATCTGTGCAAAACAGCCCACAAAAGAAATCATAGTTTTTTCAGTAGACAGGACCACCAGCATTTCAGGCGTAATGACTGCACTGAAACTCAGGTCCACCACAGATAAGTTCAGGAGAAACAGGTACATGGGAACGTGGAGGCTCTGGTCCAGGGAGATGATGACTATAATGATGGCATTTCCCATCAGGGTCACCAGGTAGATAATCAGGAAAACCCCAAAGAGCTGCCCCCGGAGCTCAGGAAAGTTAGAAAAGCCCAAGAGAATGAATTCAACCACAGAGCTTTGATTTTGTCTTTTCATTTTCAGTAGTGAAGTCATACATTGATTTTATGAACATAGTATACAAAGAATAAAGCCACAGTCCATTAACCAAAAGTTCCAGTCTGCATTCACCTCAGAAATTCTGGCAGAAGATGAAAAGAGGAGCCTATCCTGACAGAAATTTTCTTTGGCAATTTTAGGCAATGACAAATACTTGAATTATATTCCAAATATAAAAATAGAAATGAAGAATTCTGGCTCAGAGACCTTGTCTGAAAAGTACAAAATAATATCAAAGTTCTATTTCAACTGTACACCATGTAATTTGAAAATTAAACATAGCCTTAAAGGAAATATAAATACTTTATACCTTAGGTCCCAATCCTACAACATTGCTACAAGTGTTTTTCATTTTACTGAATTTTACGTAAATTCAAAGCTTAAGACCACAAAAACAAAATATAAAAAAGTCATAGATTAAAAAAGATATCCCAACAAATTTGATAACTTAATAATCCAGCGTTACAGCAAATTTAATATAAACTTATTTAAAATATTAATTAGATTCAAAGTGCCTATATATGACTTGGATAAAGATAACAATGTTCTGTAGAAACACAGAGGGGGTTTGCATTTTCAATGCAACCATATTAGGTGACCTATAGACTATGTGAATTGGCTTCATGCTTACAGATTTCTGCCCATCCGGGATCTGGCCAATTATATTGGGATTTACCTGGATGTAAAATTTTTGGGGCCAGATCTCCAAGGTCCATCCTTCTGACCATGATGACTTAAGAAGAAAACCATCTGTGGAGTAATTGTGTAACTTAAAATACTTCACTCTCTCGCCTTCCTCTCTTCTCTCTTCCCACTATACTTGTTATGAAAAAATTCATTTAATCATTAATTATTCAATGATCATTAATTAACCAGCGACCATTTTCTAGACTCTGCATCCTCAGGAATACATGTGAATCCAGAGCTCAACAGAGAGCTAAGCACAGCACATAAAATAGCTTCTAACCCCTTAACTAGTATGCTCCATAAACTGCATATAGATATAGATGTATGTATAGATATACACACACATATACACATGTGATTCAGCACATTGATTTCATAACATTATATGGCATAGAATATAATATATTATCTACATATCCTTTTTAAAGGAATATGTATAAAATATATTTTAGAGATTTATATAAATATAAATAGGTTACTATTTTTTATATTTTATATAATATTTTATATATTTTACACACACACACACACACACACACACACACACACACACCTCACAAGAGCTTAGCTCCCAGAGGGCAGAAATGTTGTTAGCTTCTGCGGTCTATACACAATGCCTGGAACACTCCCTGGTTCATAATAGGCATTAAACCAGCATTTCTAGAATAAATGTATTTTAAAATTAGAAAAATCTAGACTCTATGTTTAAGGAATAGAGTGCCTAAAAGAAGTCAGCACAACATGTGCTGTAGAAATTTAAGTGAGGGAATGATGACATTTGAAAGGGGAGGGAGGATGAACAAACATAATCACAGGATGTCATGAACGGAAGCCCATTCGGCAGGAGGAAGATGGCAGGAGGAGGAAGACTGACTCACTCATCAGAAGGCACTTGATGACACCATAAAACTAGGATGGAGGCCTACTGCCCTTTGTGTGATGTTTTGAAAACCAGAGGAAATTCACTGTAAAAGATGAGGAAGCCCGGAAGACAGATGGACACAGCAAGTTGAAAACATACAATGTTGTCTTGAGTGTAGATCTGTAGGACACTAGCAGATTGGAGAAGACAAGTTGCTTTACATCTGAATTCATCCATCATCATGTATTAAAATCAAATGACTGTATATAACAACAATAATTGTATTATATTGTAGATGTCAAAAAACCTCCTACAATTATTAGAACAGATTCTGCAAGGCCAAATTATTTAAAATGCATTTCTCATGGCAAAAAAACAACTTGTATTCAGTTCCAACTATGTTAAAGTAGATTGGTTTTAAAAATTAGAAAATTTAGAGAATGCTATAAAAAATAGAAAATGTTTATACCTTAAAAGACCCTCATGGTGTTTTGGATAAATCACTGACAAGTAATATTTACACAGATCATTCCCTTCCCAAGGCTTCAGCCTGTCGATGGAAAGAGGTAACTGTTGGACTCACTGACCAAGCTGTCTTCTAGTTGCAAACTTCCAGAGTATGATGATTTATGCATGCAAAGCACTTAAACTTCTACTTATTGCCTGAACTTTTCTCTGAAAATGAAAAGAAATTGACTAGCATCAGACCAAAAAAGCCTACTGATCCAAATGTTTCAGGTGAGCCTAGTGACTCCTGAGCACTGAGCCATCCCTTCAACAGCATCTCCAACTATCAATGAGAATAACTATAAACACAAGACCCACCAAAAGGCACAGGAGCAGAATCTGCACTTTCCTATCTGTTGACTCTGTCTCTTTTTCATACTACTTAATCAGAAGATTACCCTGTAGTCAAAAGCCACCTATTCATAAATACAACAAAGTGATTCAGCATATTTATTCCATAACATTTTATGGCATAGAATTATATGCCCTGGAGAATCCCTCCCTGGAGAACATGAAATCACTTCATAGAGACCTTCCTGTATTTTTCTGTAATCACCAAAGAGGCTTAAACTTGGCCTCTCAGTTAAGAAAGCTCAAGAGCACAAACGTGGAACATCACTCCTTCATATGTCTGTGGGGAATGAGCACCTCTTCCCACAAGAGACTCAGTTCCTTGACTCAGTTCCATGACACCTCCCAGTAGGAGGCGGGAGCAAAGGCTGAATGAATGTTATCAACAGGGAAAGAAGGGAGGGGTGGAGTGAGGCTGTAAGCAAAGGCAGGTGACCTCGGGCTAGGGGATTCATGGGGATACAATGCACAGTTTGTGCAATGGTGAAAGACATGGCAAGCAGATTAAAGATGCTTTGTAGACAGCCTGGAAGCCCCCACCCACCACCACACACACAAGAACTTTTTAAGTTGGAGTGAAAATATCCTGACTGGCTTGTGTAACTTTGAGCACGTCATTCAACTTTCTGGTTCTATTACTTTCTCTGTAAAATAAACGTAACAATATTAATCTCATAGGGTATATATGGAAATCAGGAGACTAAGGGTTTAGTCTAAACTGGCTTGAGCAATAAAGGAGGCCATAGGATGTACAATTTGTGAGAAGTCATTAGGATGTAGAGCCATGAATTGTACATATCACATATTTTTTATTTCAATAAAAAGTGTATGAAAAAACAATTCAGACACATATTTAAAAGTATAAGTGGGGAATAATATTAATGTTAATCTCTAAATCTAATATGTCATTGATATAACAATAATCAAAATGTGGAGATTTTAACACACCTTTATCAAAGTTTGAGAGAACAAACAGACAACAACAACAAAAAATACAAAATGGAAAGATCTGAATAACAAAGTATTGATTTAGCAAATGGAAATGAGAATAAATATAAGACAGAAGAACACTTTTACCTCATTAGCTCTATATTTTTATCCCAAAATATCTATAGAATATTTACAAAAATTGACTATGTTTTATCAAAAAGAAAAATCTCAATAAATTCCAAAATCTTGTCAGTCATATACATACAGCATTCCTTGCAATAAAACTGCAAAAAAGTCCAAAATAGAAGAGAAAAAATAGTCTTAGAAACAAGTTAAAGACATGCTTTAAAAAACTAGATGTAAGAACTCTTATTCTCCTTTTATAAAAATTATATACATATATATATATACACACACATCAGTGTTTTACATATATAGAAAGAATCAGAAAAAATATTGACAAAATAATTTAGATGGTTACTTTTAGGAATGATGGGGTTGGGGGATGAAAATAGAGGTACTTGTGTATTTTTACTTTATACGTCTACTACTGCTTGAATTTGAAAGAAATAAATTAATTTTGTAATAAATAAAGGCAAGATTTTTTAAAATAGAAAATGAAGTTCAGATTTTTAAATAGCAGGGTAAAGACGGCACTGTCCTTATAGAAATTACTGCCAAACTGCAATATTAATGAGAAAAATAAACCTAAAAAATTATAAGAAAAATAAACCTAACCCATCTATATATGGTTTTTGTTTTTTTTACATGGAGTCTTACTCTGTCACCCAGGCTGGAGTACAGTGGCACAATCTCGGCTCACTGCAACCTCCACCTCCCAGGTTCAAGGGATGCTCCTGCCTCAGCCTCCTGGGTGGCTGGGATTACAGGGGCGTGCCACCATGCCCAGCTAATATATATATATATTTGTATTTTTAGTAGAGATAGGGTTTCACCACGTTGGCCAGGCTGATCTTGAACTCTTCACCTCAAGTAATTTGCCCACCTTGGCCTCCCAAAGTGCTGGGATTACAGGCATGAGCCACTGCGTCCTAGACTAACCTTTATATTTAAAAATAAAAATAGAAAAAGGACATAATCTTAACCGAAGTTACAATATGGGATAGCACTGCCAGATACAGTCAGAAGAAAGTGTGTGTCCTGCAGAGGGAATGCTGAAGGGGCAGTTCAGGTGAAGCAGAGCAAATGCCCAAGCAACATGGAGCTCATTTACCAAGACCAACCAGATTTACTAGTAATAGTGTGTATCTCCTTAAAAAACTTACAAATCAGTGCATAGACCATATACAAATATACCCATATGCATTTAGTATTAATGTGATCTGATTTTATATTGAAATTCCTTAAACACAAATTCAATCAACTCTATATTATTAGAAATAATATATAATAATAATATATAATAATAATTCAGATATTTATGTCAAAGTTCATATGTAATAAAGACCACAAAAAAATCAGCAAGTGTTTGTTTAACAATTATAAACCTAAAAACAGTTTAAATATCACATGGATATATATATGTATTGTCTATCCCCAAATAATATACACAAATTATAATGACACCCCTTCATTTAGCAGAATATTTATACCTAATCTTTTTTTTTTTGAGACAGAGTCT